TCGCGCTTCTGGCTACGCTGGTCTTTGCCTAGACGGGGTCCCGTTCTGGGCACCCCGAAGGGACGACGATCACTTAGGTACCGGATTTAGGCCCCTCACACTCAAGGCAATCCGCCGTACTGCACCAATGGTACTTCGCTGCGATTGAATTTTCGCGGCTTCCTCGAACCTACAAACGGATGGCGCGGGGTAATCGGAATCCTACCTCAACTTAGTCCATGTATAGTAACAACAGAGTTCACAGGGCGTTCGCCTTCTGCACTCCCAATAGATATTCATGCCGTAATCGGGTCATTCAGAATCGACAGCTCTAATATACACCGAGACATCAATTAGCGGTGTCAACGACGTATCGAACAACGATTTTGCCCATGGCCATCAAATCAAACACCTCCGAGAGCCGGCTGAGGGAAACCATCGTGAACGGCACTTTGACGAGACCTGCGCGGAAGAACTCGATCGCCTCGTTTGCGTCCAGACGATTTTTCATAAGTTCCTAGGCTGGTCCGTATACCTGTACAATGCTTCTCATTGCGTCATGCGCGCGTAACTATCATATGAAGCCCATTAATCACATGTTAGCGCCTGTTCAAGCTGATCACACCACAAGTCAACTATGTTTTCTTCCAATCTAATCTCTAGACCCTTCATAAATCTTTTAGCGCTCGATTTATTTATAAAACTCAAGAATGAATTTTGAGTGAAGTGTGTGGGAAACCTGGTCATTCTCGTACACCCCAATTCCGCGCCATTTCGCTGCAAGCTCAGCCCACATCGCTAATATCCTACACTACCTCTGTTCTGTTATCTCGGATCCATTCGACCCAAGATCTATCTTCTTCATTTATTATTATCGAATATGGCCAGTGGCAGCAGAACACAAATCAGAAATACAGCCAGTGGCAAAAGTGAAACCATCGATCCATCATTCAACATAACCCATACGGACGAAAGGGTATTGTGTTTAAGTTGTCGTACATGTCGATGTCGCCAAGGAGGGTGTGTGCTGTCAGCGCACGCTGGGAGCAGTATCTGTCGGAGCCACTGCGCATTGAGATGGTGAACTTTGACTCGGAGCAGCCTGCACTGATGCCAGACTTTGTCGACTTTTGCGCAAATGAACGAGACGATAGCTTGAGACTGCCAACCGTAGCGTTCATAGACCCCGCGCTGTCGTTTCTAGAAGCTTTGCGTTTGGCAGCTCGGACCGTTGCATTAAGTGATGCGCTGATGCTGTAACATTTTGCGAGGTCCAACCCTCGAAAGGGACTAGACGTGGGCTTCACCACCGTGACATTATTGGGGACGCCATTACGTGACTGCAATGGAACAACCTGAACCAGGACATTGTCATCCCGCGGCAAAGTCTTCTTGAAGAAACAGACCTGAAAGTTGCGGCCAGAGTTGTTATCCCAATACTCTTGGCCATTGACGGCGTAGCGGACAGACAAGTGGGCAATTTTGGATTCGAGGTTGACAATGTCGGAGAGCTCAATGGTGAAGACGAAAAAGTCGTAGCCCGAAGGGGCTTCTCCTGAGGCGTTTCCATCGCTGTATGCTGCGGCGACGTTCGAGGTCGTCTTCCAGTTGTCAAACGTGAAGCGACAGGTAACCGACTTTTGAAATGCCACATTCCGGACAGCCACCAAGCCTTGCATGGAATTTTGGTCGTCCAATAACCTCAACTTCTTGATATACACAAATTGGGACTCGCGCGATCCGCTCTGCCGCGGGAAGTTGGGCGTAACCATCTCCCACTGACCCGCTGCATCTTGTCGGGACATGGGACGTTCCCTGCTGCTCTTATCGACTTGACCGGATCGTGACCCAGCGCTGATAGAAAGGGGACATCCAATCGAAAAAAATTGAGAGTCTCTGTGGCTGTGGAAGTGAACCGACTTTGTGGCGGTGGGACTGGTTGGCATGCTCGCAGGGCGCCGACGAGACGGCGGCGGGCGTAGTATGGGCCGGACCAACTCGCCAGACATTTTGCGAACTACCCGCTGTTTGCTTTGTCGCCAGTCCTCTGTTTCGTCTTCGGATTCGGTAAGGACTGCATCATCGGATTTGTGAGGGGCATCACAGGATGCTCTCAGATCTGCCACAATATCTGAAGGGGGCGGCGTCAAGGATGATTCATGAGTCCGAGAGTCCCTTAGCGCCTGGGGGAGATTCTTAGCGGATTGGTTCTCAGATTGTCGGGGTTTCGTTGGCAAAGACCATGGTACATCCAAATGGACTGTCTCAGATGACGGGGAGCATGGAGATGGTTTCAATGGACGAGTGTATGGCATTTTTGGATCAAGGACAAGGAGATGTGGGTAAGCGCTCAGTGGGAACGGTGTGAAGGCTGGAATAGTGTCGCCGAGTGGTGCCGACGTGACCGACGGTGGGAATGCGACAGCTGCAGAATCAAATGGTGCCAAGCGCTCAATTATAGCAATATTAGCCGTAAAGAGTTCGATTTTTTTGGATCTTAGAATGATATGATGAGGCTGAGTGGTAGGGAAGCGGTGCGAGCAAATATTCGCTGGTGGTGCGATGCCCTATATGCATGGTGGTGTTTAAGTGATGGGTGTTGGTGTTGGTGATAGCGATTGGTGATGTAACTGTGGAGGGTACGCTAAAACATCGAAAGTTTTCCATTCTTCCTCTTCTCTCGGTGTACATTCGCCAAGGAGAAAGACATGGTAGACGGCGCCACCGGCACTTTGTTGGAGGGCGCACACCAGGGCATCGGTCGTTCCACACGTACATAATAATGCAGTAAGTATACATACACGCACGCATGATTTATTCTCCCCTAATGCTTGCACAGGTCGAGACCCTGCATCAGGTCACCTGGTTTCTTTTTAGCTATCACAGCCACGAGGTAACTCGTACTATCGCGTGGTGGCGTGATGGAAGACTGGCACTTCCGTTGCATCCGTTGCATCGTGGGGGAATTGCATCAACAGGGCACCTTTAGTTAAAGACGGGAGTCGCTGTCAATTGCAATGGAAGTGAGGTAATTATTTATAACGTGTAAATACAGGTGAGCACTAGCTATCATTCTCGCAGCCATGGCTCAGTACGAAGTTCAAATCAAGTAGAGGACGCCCGGAGCCGTGGATAAAACAAGGGGAGAGAAGATCAGATACCTCGACTTTCTACATACGCGTATTTCGATCCGTAGATTTTTCTCTTGCAAATGTCACCATTCCTGAAGCCTCGACCGGCCACTCGTTGTTAGCATTGATAGCAGAGTCACCAAGTGTGATGGCCGATGCCACACGGCTTCCATCTCGCCCTGTAATTCGCCATGGAGAGCATCCGCGATCTGGATCCCAAGCCCCGCACACCCGACCGGCCCCCCTCAAAGCCTTATCGCCGAATTGCTGGTAAATGCTTACAGTACGCTAGTAGGTACAAAGCCTGTAGCTTAGTCCCTACAGGGTTTCCCTTGCCACATCCCCGAGTCTAGACCTACCGGCAGGATCCAAACCCTTGCAGTCCTTTTGTCATGCCAGCAGAGTCCACAGTCGCATCTGATTGATGGCCAAGTTAACTATGGTTCACAGTGACTTTTTGACTACTGCTCTAATCACCCACTAGCAAACTCATCAGGTCCTGCGGGGAAGAAATCATGACTCAAAACCATGAGATCAATCTTCAACAAGAAAAGCTCCCTTGTTGTGGTCTCCCTCTGCTGACAATAAGTTGCCGATGATTGGTTGAAATCCATGTGGCTTAAAGGGTCCAGGACTTGAGCCATCGTTCGATCCGCGATTCGGACCCCTGGCCGCAAATCGCCCGTAGGAGCCTCCCGCGCCCGTAATGCATCGGGGTGGGGATGGTGGGAAGAGCCTCGCACTGAGAATCTGCACTGCCATGAAGCTAACTGGCGCGCATCGCGGCAAAAGTGCTGCATGGTGAATACTACGTAAAACAGAGCAGCATCCGCCCACGAGCCGGGATCCCAACTTGTTGCCTCAGAATAAGCCACAAACGCCCAGATGGATCGACTTTGGGCCTACGCAATATTCCTCGTGACTCGGCGATGGCCTTTGGAATCAGCCCATACTTGCATCGAGGGGTGGCTACCACTAATTTGCTGCCACAGAGTGTTCTCCCCAACATCCAGAATGCTTCAACTCAAAGCTTATAATAAGTCCCAGCGAAATCAACGCATGACCACTTTTCTCGCCCATTAGAGCATACCAACCCAGACTCAATTCCATTATAACTCATTGCAAACAATCACTATAGAGGTCACTCCAACCTTTCTCCCGACAATGGACACTACAATATGTCCTTTGGACCTGGTCCTATCCCGTTACACAGCCGAAAATGTAGGTACCATGCATCCTCTTTATTTTGAATCCACTCGGGGATCTACCCCCAGCTACTCCGTACGAATCAGCCCTTCCCCGCCCCCCAAAAAAAATCCTTCACACTCCACAGAAATCGATATCCCTGTGGGTTTCCTGCATAATTTTCCGCGAGAACGAGCATAGGGTATCCAGATCGTTGGGACGAACCGTGGGGCATTGTCATCTCTGAAATTGAAGTACATGCTCATCGTTTGTTAGGTTACGGAGTCAGAAATCGGTTGCTTTACGCCTGCGTGGGAGCAATCCATCCCTAGATCCGACAATTACTCGAAAGGGTCAGCATTTTGCGAAAACTGCCATGGGATGGGATGGGCCCCGCGGGGCTTTGTTTTAAATGACTCTTCACTGTCGCCTTTCCAGAGCACAATCTTTTTCTCTCCAGAATCTGACTGCATCTCATCACCCATTATGAAAGAGATAAATATCGACAAGAGCTGCTGCGACAGCTGTAGTGTTACAAGTGTGAAGCGACAAAAGGTATGGTCAAGTGTAAAAGAAGGAAAAAGCGCGTCCTTTCAATTTCTCGGGCAGACTAGACGCCTTAAGTAGGGCCATAATGAGCTAGCTACTGGCCCCCACTGTATTAAAACTCCAGATGGACCGTTGGCTCCATCACAATAGAGCAGAAAGAGGATTGGAGATAGAGGGGCAGTCCGCACCTAATAGGGCCGGCTTCTGTTATCGTATCGTCTAGCCGGATGCTAGCTGACCTGCCTTCCGTAAAGGCACCGACAATCCGGACTAGCTGTCGCGACCAGCCTTGCTGGATCATCCGTAGCATCAACCTTCGTCGGAGGGTGGCATCATAGGCGCCTTTTACATCTAAAGTCGCTATTGCTGCTGTACGCCCGTTCTCCAGGGCATGTTCAATCTCGTGTATAACACAGGCTTATACAGGGTCCTTAGCGCTCAGCAAATTGGAGCCCTACCCAGCTGGTCAGCAATGGACCTGCACTGAACGGCGTTACCGCTTACCAGTGTACAGGCTGCTACTATTGCCTCGAGAATGGGCGTCAGAAACGCGGGTTATACCCCATCCTCTCACCGAACTAGGACGAATGCCAGTCTCATATCACACCGGAGCGGCATGAAAGGGAGTTGCAACGGAGATTCATCAACTCGGGATATAGTTGTACCCGTCGGGGCGGTGCATTAGACAGAAGAAAGTGATACGTGGCCATCGGGTGTAACCCTGCAATCGATGCCGGTGTCCTCTTCCAGTGCCTACGGTCGCGGACCCTGCCCCTGCTCTCAGTGGGGGCGTTTATGACCCCCTGTCGTTAGCTGGTAGACTACAAATTGACGACTCCATGTGGCGCGATCAAGTGTTGCCAAACATCTCGAGAAGGGGACTTGTTTAATGTGATGGAGAAAGACGGGAACACTGCCCGAAAACTGGTCCTAATGCGACAGGGCCAATGTCCCATGGTGAGAGTAGAGACGAACTCTGCAACTAAAAGCTTGCATTGCGTGCTGAATTATTGCATGCTGAATTGATGCGATAGCTTCTTCCGACCTCTGGTGCCCTCACATATCGCACCACACAATTTTCTCTACAATGTGGGATCATGGTCACCGTCGTCCAGGGTAGTGAGTTAAAGCCTGGCTTTTCGACGCCACACTCTGCAGCGGCTTGCTCCGTCTCCCACATGTGACGATATTGAGTTGTAATGTGGGTCGAGACCAGAGAGTGGTTGCAAACCTCAAGAATCCGGTAGCCGTGCAATCAGCCTTATTTCACTCCGTGGCTTGCGCTCATTGGTCGTGATCCTCGACAGGTCAGTGCACATTAGTGAGTGGCTTGATTGAGAAACCCTGCTCATTACGGTTATAAGGATCGGTGCCGCTGGAGCCTTGACACAGGGTACCAGCGGACGAAAGGGTCAAGACCTTGAGAATCTGATGATTCGATACCAGGATTACATCAACGAGCGGGGATTGGCCCTATTTCGTCCACTTCTACGTAGTAATAGCGTCATAATTTCGTGGTCCCTCCAAACCAAGGTCTGGACTCCACATTCTCCACTCCAACATGTTACCTCCCACTTCCCAATCCGACTTTCTGACACATGAATATTTTGCCCGTGCTGGTGCCTTCACGGCTAACGCCGCTCGTGCGCACCTTGATCTTGGCCATTTTGATTGAGGGTGCCAGCCCCCCTACGCGGCGGCTAGCTTTAGCCAGTATTTGACATATTTGTGGTCGAAATGCCCAAGAAGGGTCTAGCTCGACTCGCCCGCCAAACATGTCGATTTTACAGCCCCAGGCGTGGAATGGCAACACCACAAGTCATGCTGTAACACAGCCATGGATGGTCTAGACCCGACTAACCTACCCTGGATTAGAATTCGGGCGTAGTGGATAAAATCTCTTGGATCGGCGATCGCCCACCAGTGATAAGAGGTCGGCGAAGCCAACATTATGGGAAAGGACTTTTCCTGGTGCTTCTTTAGTGAGATTTGGCTGCCTGCAAATGCCATGTCACCAGATTCACAAGACTTTTTGTACCCAGCTTTCAGCCTTGAAGACTAGTATTTTGAGTCAATATGTCCCTTGCCACAACTACTGCCAACGACTGTAGGCTTGAGAACAAAATGGACGAGGTAAGCTGACTTGATTTATTCTAGTAGCAATTCCATTCTAGTTATCGATGTCCAGATATAGGTGGATTTAGAGAGGATTGGCAATATGACTGCCCCTGCTACTAGCTGTCCGACATACTCGCTCGTCCAACCCCTTGATAACATGATAACTGACAAATGCGATTATTCCGAGAGGGGAGTCGTATTCAAAGGTGTATGCAAGGAGAAGCCCAAATTCGGCATTCATACTAGCTAGTATTTAGTCTAATGCTTATTTGCTTAGATTCCGATATCCGATATTCATCAAATTTTTGATGGAAGTGCATACCCGAGCACCGGGATCCATTCCCCACTCCAGAATAGCACTGATGGCGAATTTACTAATCTGACCTCTCCATTTATAGAAGCGCCTGGAGACTGCCACGATCAGTTCTGGATATCACCCTCTATGACTGATTCGACGGATCCCTGGTCAACTAATACACCGATTTCTTCTATATCACCGTTTGCGATACCGCTTATCTTCGATTTTGAGGTCGTTAATGCTTCCTGTAAGTCATTTTTGAGTCATTCTGCACATTGGCTAACCTCAATAATAAAGGGGATATACCACCTGTTCCCAACTTCTGGGGTAAAACTGACAGTCGTACGCCTTCTGCAACACCTTCAACAACTACAGGGAAAGACTTATTATCTACCTACACTCTGAAACCCCAAGAAAATAAAATAAAGTCCGCGAAAGCGGCGATCGCGGATCAGCCGCTTGGCAACCCGGCAAATAGCGACATTAATGACGGCGGACACACCAGTGGTCTTCAACTACGGACTGCCTCAAGGAAGCCTAAAAAGAGATCCCGAAAGAAAACCCGGGAAGCATCTTTGCGATCATCACCCAAAGAGTGTACGCATCAGCGACGACTTGCTCTAGATTCTCACAACCAGGTCGAGAAGCAGTATCGTGAGAGACTGAACATGCAGTACATGAGCCTGCTCACCATGCTACCTGCTGACCTTGACCGGAAATCTATAGTGGCTCACACTACTGAAGCATCCGATGACACCGGGGGCAGAGATACCGGAGGAAATGGAGATACCAGAGGAGGCAGGGTTTGCAGTGATAATAGTATCAGCAAGGGCGAGGTTTTGGATATGGCTAGGATGTACATCGAGAGAATGGAGAGGGAGGGGGAGCTGCTACTCCAGGAAAGGGATAGACTGTTGTCCAGCGCAGACTTGATAGTGATGTAATAATGATAAACGGCGGGGTCGCCCACCCTTGGGAATTAACGCCCTGGATCATAGTAGCCCATTCCCTATTTCCTTGTTGGGCCATTTTTGGTCTTCCACGTCGTTCAGCACTCGTAACGACCATCCCAGTTGAGATAATACCCATCATAAACCCAGTCTCATCAAAGTTATAGTAGATATCTGACTCCTGGATACCATATTTCGCGATTGTATTCCGCACAAGCTGAAACCAGCACCAAATGATATTCGGATCTTCGCATTGGGCCCCTTGATAGTCATATCTACGCGTAAAACGCGTCTTGATCTCTGGTTGTCGCTTGACAAAGTTCGTGGCCCAGCACTTGCCGACTGGAGGCGCGTCGCGGTCGGCAAGTAGTCGATTGGCCATATCTTCCACATCGCAAAGCCGGGGAGGAAATGATCGCGCATCTAGGTCGAGGACATATTCAATAATTGTCTTCTCCTCGAATTCCGTGAGCTTTCGCGAATTGGGCGTACTATCGCGTCGGGAAGCTCTCTCCTTAACTCGGCGTCTTAGCGTTGCTAGGCTGACTTCGTAGACCTTTGCAGCAGTCCGTATGTGTCACGGGCCAGGGCCCATATCCTTGCGGCTGTGCCGCAAGACGTACTTGGCTCGTGCGCGCCAGGGATGGGAAATCATTCCACAGCTCAGGGGCACTTAGGAATTTCTTTCTTTCTTCTTCATCTTTGATGTAAATAGCATCCTGGACTAGATAGCTGGAATACAGTTACTAGAGGCCGTTCACATACATCAAAGATCACTTATTCTTTTGTTTGAAGTTAGAACCGTTAGGATGGACAGCCCGACACTACCTGTAGCCCTCGAGGCCATCATGCAGGAACTCAGGCTTATGAGAGAGGAAAACGCTGAACTCAGGAAAGCCTCCGCAGAGAGGAATGAAGAGCTGAGAAGAAGCATTGCAGAGAAGGATGAAGAAATCAGATTGAAGATTCAGGCAGTTGCAGCTGCAGTCCAGGGGGACGGCACTCCCCTAACACCAAGCGGACTCAGCACCCCAATCCCGAAGATTAGTACCCCCGAGCCCGAAATCAAGCACGAGACCAAACCCGAACCCGAACCGAAGCCAGCCCATCGACCGCGCCCACGTCTACCCGACCCTGCCCTCTACGAAGGAAACAAACCCATATGGCCTGGGTGGAAGCTAGAGATGGAAAACAAGCTGCGGGAAGATGCCGACGCCCTAGGCAGCCCCAGGTTGCAGTTCACATATGTATACTCTCGGCTAGCAGGAAAGGCCAAGCAGAACGTCACCACATATGTACGGAATGAGACACGGCAAACCGATACGGAACCGGACCCAGCAGTACTCCTTACCCGTTTGGAGCTCTTATACGGAGATCACGACCTTGAGAGGAAGGCCATTCAAGCACTTCACTCCCTTAAGCAAGGAGAAAATGAGTCCTTTAACTCCTTCTACCCCCGCTTTGAGAAGGAGATCTCCAATGCTAATGCGGAGTCATGGCCGGATAATAGCAAGATTTCCTACCTGGTTAATGCCTTGAATGACAAGCTGAAGATGGCGCTTGTACCGGTAAACCAAGAAGAGCTGGTTACCTATGTGCAGCTGGCAACGAGGTGTCAGAAGCTGAGCAATGCTATGGAGCTCCTGGGTCAATGGAAGAAGTCAGGCAGCAAGGGGCAACCGAGCCCCCCCCCACCAACACCACAGACGGCAAAGAGAGAAGATATGATGGAATGGGAACCAACCCCCACGGGCACGACACAAGTGAACACCTTGAAACCTCGAAGGAATAACAGCAACCTCAATGGGTACCCATCGAAGCGGCCGCAGGATAGGGCACTACTAGGCAAGAGAGCCAAGTGGGTTAGCCAGGAAGAAATTGACGCACGACGCCTCGAGCACCGCTGCCTTCGTTGCGGAAGAGACGACTGCAGGATCCTCACATGCCCGTTAGCAGCGCCCATCCGTCCTGGGTCGCAACCACGCATCAAAATCTCATCGGCGCGCCCTCAGGTCACTGAGGCAGCAGTAGAGGAGGAAGAGAGCAGCCAGGAGGAGGGAGAGGATGAACAATAGGGGCACGCGGCAG